TTCAATAAGTATGAAATATATATATTTATAAGGAAATTTTCAAGAACTCTTTCTTGTATTTTGAGAAATAATTCAACTATTGAAACTTCTCAAAAACTAAGTTAAAATCAAGAACTCTTTCGTGTTTTAAAAGAAATAATTTAACTCTTTGAATTTCTTACAAAACCTTATTGTAAAATTTCTCAAGTGCTAAATTCAAAACAAGAACTCTTTCTTATTTTGAATTATGAAGAACACTTCTTCTTATCTCTTCTTTCCACTATTGAAAAACTTAGCAAAACTTTAATGGAAGACTTAGCTTATTTTTGTGCAAACATTTTGCACCTATTTATACAAAATATTTTAGCATAAAATAATCAATATTTGATAATAATTTATTTTTAAATAAAATCAGATTTTATTTAAAAATCCATACCAAATATTGACTTTTAATAAATAATGTGGAGTGGTTCTTAACCACCATCAACCACCATTATTTTGTCTCCTCAATTATTTTAATCTTTAAATATATTAAAGATAAAATAATAAAACAATAAAATAATAATTCTTGAAAACATTTTTCAAGACTTTATTATTTTAATCATTTCTTCCAATTTCCTTATTTAATAATCATATTATTATTTGGATTTGAAATTTAAAATCCAATTTTAAATTCCAACTATTAATTAGTAATTCCATTAATTACTAAATTAATATCCAAAATTCAATTAATCAATCCAATTGATTAATTTAATATATTCCTTTAATTGACATCTAATCAAATTAGATTAGTCAATTAATTCTAACTCTTTAGAATTACTATTTGAATTTTACCTTCATTCAAAAATTGGTGTGACCTTTTAGGTTCACAATTAATACTAGTAGTGGGTTTACAACTCTTTGTAATTTGAGTTAATCTTATTAACTCTTATTCATGAATTAACCCCTTAATTCATGAACCCACATATCATGGGAACACCTAGCAAGTAGCATGAATCTAGTATTAAGTGAATAGCGAGTAAACCTATTTCGATTACAATTACATACATGTAAAATCCTTTCGACATCCAATTTCCCGATTAATTCTTGGGTATGATTTTAGTCGAAACCCAAATTGATTTAATAACTATGATTCTATTTCATGTTTAGTAATTCCCGTACGAATCTCCATTCATCCTGCCTTGGCCAAGGACTTTGAATTACTAACTATGAAACACATAGGAAATTCACTTATCTTCATAAGTGTCGAATCCTTTGTTGGCCACTAATAAACTTCCATACATATTAACATAATACCCAAAATATCCCTTTATACGATTGTGCTAGCAACCAAAAGGATAAATCAAAGTAGAATGTAATATGCACAAAGTTACCATTGTGCCTCAAGTCTAAGGACCAATCATGTACTATTGTAACATGAAAATACTTATTCGACAAGACAAATCTTTCATTAAGAATTTTCATATGGTCATGTTCAGTGAACTTGTTCTCTAACAAGCACCCACAAATATGTACTTGCATCCCACGCTAATGTTGATGGAATGCAACATTCTTGTCCAACAAGCATACATACTATGTGCAATTCTTTTATGGATTATTCGATATCCCATCTCGAAACATCCATCGAATTGGAACTTTATTTAAGATAACGACTTTCAAGATATGTTCCATGATTACCATCTCTATGCGCAACCATATCTTATAACCATAAGTGATCTAGGGATTTTATCTTAAGTGCAATTATATGATAAATGCTTACTCTTAAGATAAAGTAATGCCTTTTAATTAATATAATTCCAATAGATTGTATTTACAAGTAGAATACGTCCAATCCGATTGGAACGCTGAGTATACTACTCTAACACTAAATATAGAGTATTAGACACCTATGTAATGAATTAAACAATTGAAACACATAAACAGATAAGTTAAACAGAAAAACTAAACCAAAAACCTATGTATTATACAATAGAGAAACTAAACATACAAAAATAATAAACACTAAATTATAAATAAAACAGAAACTTTTTTTTTTATTTACAAAAAAAAAGAACAACCCCAACACTAACAGAGGTCAGCAGCGCGCGACATACCCGGGGAGGAGCTCGTAGATGCGGGGCCGGCGCGACAGCAGCTCCTCGGAGATTAAGAGAGCTGTCATTTATTTTAAACTATGACTGCAAATGTACAAAATGTAGAATAAACCAAAACTAAAAAGAAAAAAACTTGATCTTTTTAAAAGGGATTCAAAATAAAAGCAAAACTATAAAAATTAAAAATAGAGTGACCAACTGATCTATACGACTATATCTAACTCAATGACTCCACAAAAAAGATTTGGCCAGTTATGCAATATTTTCATTGCTCACCATCTGAAATCTCAATCACTTAAACAGATCGGTCGGCCGACGCGAGCCCCGAACCATATAGTAAGATCCCCATATATTTTGGAAAATTAAAATGTTCGTTCATATCCCAAATAATTTCAATTAAATCTTAAAGTATAAATTATCTCAACTCTTGAAATGATGAGGGCCGCATCTCGACTAAGAACAAAAGGCTAAATTAAGGTCTGTGTGTGTACGCATGTGCTGTGGATCTCTCAATGATATGCAAATTCAAAACCGAATATTTTCGAATTTGCAGCGTTGGATTGAACTGCACTTACATGTTAACAGAAAAAAAAATTTAAGGAAAAAAAATTACCTGGTTGGAAACTTCATATGTGAAATCTTCGCAAGAGCAAATGTTGGTGGACAGTGGAGATGATATGAAATGTGGGGAAGTCAAATTTCATTTGGTGTGCCAAATTTGAACATTTTTAGGTCCCTGATTACTTCCAGGGCCTGTTCAGTTAAACAACCCTATGATGGATTGTTAAACAACCCTATGATTTTTAGACCCGGGCCGGGTCGTGTCAATTCGGTTTAGAGTTGGCTTTTGAATGAAAAAAAAAATGACTAAAAATAAAATACTTGCCATACAACAAGACACGGCCTTTCATTAGGTCTTACGGAGACTTACCTCGCAAGGGTAACCGTATTACATCGACGGGGACAATCGTACCGACGGCCGAATCGGCTCACGCCGATAGGCTACATGGTTTACATGCATACTTAAATCATACCAACCCAACATTAAAGTAAACACATACGGCATAGCAAATTTTATAAGTAAACCCACCTGGTCACCGAAGCGATAGATACAAAAACACGAGTAGGCAGCGAGCTCAGCTCGTCAAACACCTACATATATTAAAATAGTCCTATAAATGACTATTCAACACATGACCAACCAATCATAACAATCACTTAATCCAACTAAGCTCACATAAGCATTTAATCAAAGAAATCCCATTTCCGAAAACACCACTTACGTTTTTCAAAACTTGACCCGTGCAGCGTTTTTGAAATCAACATAACTTTTTTTACAAAACTCGGATGAAAATGATTCAAGTTGCACTAGAATCATAAGACATGCATCTACAATTTCTATGAACAAAATGAAAGTAAATAAGGTCATTAAGGTAGTGTAAAAATAGCTAACATTCAAACATCAAATTTTGTCAAAGTATAAAATCCTACTTCATGCATATCTACATTAAAATTATCACAAGTTGAGCTACATATATCATCTCAGAATGAATCTTATCTCATTAGAATACCTACAACGTTCATGAAGATCACAAACTCATTTGAGCACATTGAAGTACCATAAAAAGGTCAAACATTTATTAATACATGCTGCCAGATTTTCGAAAACTGCTTGCACACTCGTTTTATAGAAATCATAACTCACTCGATATAACTCGAATTATCAAAATTTCAAAAATCCCGAGAAAGCCAACAGAAAATACTACATCTCATCAGAAGGCCTCAACAATAAATTACGGGTTTCTAATGGTCATAATTACAGCACAACATAGCATTAAATCATGCATGTACCAATCGAAAAAATCCAACTTCAAACAAGGATTCGGTAATACGAACGATACTTATATATAACATGTGATATACGAGAACAACCGCAATAACGAGAGGGTTCGGAAATGTTTACCGTCTTTGGAAAAATACGAGCTCAGTTAAAGTAATCGAACGAAATGACGGGAGTTCGGCATCGGCATTTTAAATCATTTTCCTACTATTCTCCACCGGAATTCAAACGAACAACAATTCGGCTTACGCGATTAAACCGAAAATTCAAACGCCGATTGATAAAATAAAATCGAACGAGATATATAATCACAGTATCCATATAATAATATAAAATATAATCTAAAAGTTAAGATTCGATAAATAGAATAATCCGAGAAATTCTATAAATCGAACGGGGCGTTA